TCCGCAGAGTTCTATCACTAAGCTGGGTCAGTGATGAGGTGAATCGATTGAATTGCCACTACCGTTTTCGATTTTTTCACGACAAATTAGTCGAGATGCTGGCTGAGTTGCACTTCTGCGCGTGCGGTTCCTGGCACAGAAATTCTCGGTTCTGGCCGTTTTTATAACCGATGTCGAAACACGGATGTGGTCGGAACGAAACAGGCACGCAACACTGTGGTCCAAGCGTCTGACGCGAAAGAGCTTCATGTAATGGAATTGGAAATGGCAAAGTTTTTGCCTATTTACCAGATTTGCCTTAGGAATTTCGTGTTGCATGTCGTCTCGTCAGCGCCATTGTCCTCCAACCTCACCGAGGCATCGAAATCCTTCAGTGGCAATTGCAAAACGATTTTGTCAAAGCGAAACTTTACACTGGCAAAGTTCAATGCAAGTTGTTGAATTCTCCTTCGATCCTTGTGCGTAAAATCTCGTCATTAAATCGGAGGTATTTCGAGTCATTAGACTGCAGCGCTGAGACATCCACGGCGAGGTGGCACGGTGTGGGAGGCCGGTTTCGAACTCCGCAGTAAGGCAATTTCTGTACTACCCACACATTGCTTCAGACCGGGGTTACTCAGTTGATGAAGCGGCTGACTAAAAACGATTTCGAGTTTGAATCCCGGTCAGATCAACGGCCTTACTTCCTTACGAGCTCGGTAAATGAGTACCACTTTGTTGGAGGGAAACAGGAGACTAATCATTATGCTTGCCATACAGCTGCTGTGAGCATTGCCTATCAAATGATTTACTACTGGCTGATGGCATGGAAATGGAGATCAGCGTTTCACCATTAACAAAAAGTAAAAGAAGAAGAATGAAATGGGCGACAGATTTATTCCTGTCATTAAAGTATATGGAAGACCGACATTCCTGGACGATTTTATGACGCAAGGGACTGCATCAGTGAAAATGACAGCTGATTCTATTGACTCTGGGCGATGTGCACATGTTTCCTTCGTCAAGGGTACGGTATAATTCTGCTGAAACCTCACTCGAACCGCTTGTATGAGTGCTGCTTGACGAAGAGCGCCATTTGCATATATTTATTGCATTTACTAAGAATTATGACTGCTTTATTCCCTCTTCAAATTAATCTTTTTCTATCGATGTGCTGTGCTTAATTCGACTGCGACTTACTTCATTCGAAGCAAATCGTTCATAATGCGCATTACT